ACGAACATCCACACTAGAAGAACGACCCCCTACTGCGTCAATTTCCGTCAATATTTGTCTCAGATATGGATCAAAAAGAATACCCTCTGATGCAAGCGAGGCAAGGATATGCACTACTGTGTGTGCATAGCACAGTTGATGCGGATTATGATAGGCCAGAGACCAGGCTGTGACGGGCACTGACGAAGGTCTCCCCTCTGCTGGTGCGTCTCGCTGGGAGCTTGCTGGTGCCTGATGAGACCGAATCCTACTGGTGGAGGAAGCCTCCTGGGAGGAAGCCTCCCTTCCTCTCACCTGGCTAATTGGAGGATCTGCACTGAAGAGATCTGGCAGTTCCATAGGCTTGGCACAAGCTGCACTCATGGCGTATGTCTGAAGCAGAACCACACATTGCTCTGCATGGCGTACTGGAGCATCTACCACAATGCGACAATACCTACATTCTTCTTTTTTGTGCAGGAGGCGCTTATGTGTTCGCATGTTGGCAAGAATGGATGCCGAGGATTGTGCCCAGAAAGCGGGATGAGCTTTCTGAATGTGCTGTTTCACTCCTTTGTGGCCAACAATGTATTGCCCACAGAGACTGCAGTTCGTTAATAGATGCTGAGTGACATGTCTCTTTTTTAGTAGAAGATCAGGATCCTTCTTAAGTTGTTCCTGCACGCTAGACTGATAGATCATAGCTATGCTTTCTGAGCTTGTACAGGATTTGGCTCGTTCTTTCAGCTCGTGCAGCTGAGGGCAAATGCCTGACTCCACATGTCTGCGAAGTTGATGCATTGTGCGCAACTGCCTGTTGCATGCCGCACATTGCGGAAGTCCTTTGCAGCATGCACAGTGACCTGAAATTTTGGGCCTAGCTGATTCGCACGCTGTCCTCCATGCTTCACCAGAGTATGTTGCTGAAGACCCTTAGCGCTGGAAAATTTCCGATCGCACAGAGAGCACGGTACCTCCTGGTCTGCCTCGGTCAGGTCCAAATGCATGCTCTGAAGCTCCTGTTGCAGCGCAACAATCCTACCTCTAAGTCCCAGATACCACTGTATGTTCTGATCCGGGTTGTACTTCTGACAGGCATCTAGTGCGTCTTGATAGTTTTTCATCTGGCTGATCAAAACTGCTTGAGGAGTCTGAACCTTATATTGCTCGAACAGAGTCTTCGTGTCAATATGGCTGTAGTGCTGATGTTGCTTAAAGATGGATCTTAGCATCCGCGAGTATTTACTCTGAAGCTTCTGAAGACCTGATGAGGTGATGCCAGTGGCCACAAGCCCATGCAAGAGTGAGGATTCCACATAGACCCTCCAGATCTCCAACTTCTTTGAAGCCTCCAAGGCCTTAGTGGAGCACAGGATGTGTCGAAGTAGCTCAAACTTGCCTTGAGCTTGGGCGATCCTATAGTCAACAGTCTGGTCTTTGTAGGATCCATAGCTGAGCTGCACCCCTAGATATGTTAGTTTGTGATGAATCGGAATCTTATGTCCTGAGGGAAGGACGATGTGCAACTGCTTCTCTTTGCGCATCGTGTGCTTCTTGCGAAAGATGGACTGCTGAGTGCCCTGAACCATTAGCAAGGCTTTGGACTTCGTTGGATTGACTTCCAGCCCCACGTCCTCAAGAGACTGAAAGAAAGCCTCTATTCTGAGCAGGACTTTCTGAAGTTCAGGAAAGCTCGAGAAGGTTTCCTGGAGCAGGAAATCGTCTGCAAAGACCGTTAGGATGTCCCTAGCTTGCTTGCTATCTGGGCCCCATTTCTGCTCCATTCTGCTCATGACTAGAAGTGTCAGCGCAGACCACAATGCCGGGGCTAGCTTGCAACCTTGTTTGATTCCTGAAGAAGTGGGAACTTGAATCTCTAGTCCACTTGTGCCCATGTTGTAGGAGGTCTCACTGTGTAGTTGAACTACCAGTTCTTTCGTAACAGGGTCTGTTCCCAGGCGATCCAAGGCAGCTAGCAGCTCATGTCTATTAACAGAATCAAAAGCTTTGCTCAGATCAACCGAAATAGTGAGTGCCCCTGACAGCTGAGCCTGCCTAGCTCCGCGTTGGGACTTGTGCAGGTCCCTGCGATGCTCTTGACGGAGCTGCTGCGCGAAATCAAGGTGCTGACATGCTTTCGCGATAGCGTCCCGCACCCCCCTCTGCCGAATGTACGCAAATTGAGGCTGAAGCTGTGAGCTCACCTGCAATGCTGGTGCAATGCGAGTCTTCACTGCGCCTGCTAGCACTTTGCCTGGCACGCTGATGACTCCTATGGGCCTCAGGTTTTTCATGGCGGTGGCTGGCTTGCCCGGCTTGGGGATCCATGCAATTCGAGGGTCCTTTAGATAAGGGGAAATTTCTGATTGGGACACCTCAGAGTTGATTAGACCTGCTATGTGTTCGTGGGCTTCAGGACCTAGACTCTTCCAAGCTGATACTGGGGCTGAGGTGCTGGGGACTGCTTTCCCCACTGGCACTGTCTTGATTTGTGAGGATACCTGCAAGGCGGTGATCGCTG